AAAAAAGTTAAATATTTGTCACCATTATTTTTTTATGAATTAACAGGTGGATAAAGCTGTTGTCAGAAAACCCAGTAATTTGTAATTAACTAGCCTAATTAAAATTTGGATTAGTGGTTTGGTTACAAATTCATTGGTAGAATTTCTATGAGATCTAACAATTAGACTATGCCAGTTAGATCTTGCATTCTAGTCTTTCAGAAGGTCACTCCATTTTTAGTTTTTATTCGTTAATATTACAGTGTCACATTAAAATATTGCAAAAACACAAGTGACTTTTAAGGAGTCATTTATGTTTTTTTAAATTAGTTAAATTCTAAAAGGTACTACCACTAAAAATTGTTAATTATTTGGATAACGATAAAATTATAACTTCGGAAAAGAGGAAAATGAAGTTAGTATCAGTTTTCTTGCTTGCAAAACTGTTGCATCCTGTACTTGATTATGACACAATACAGTATACAACTGACGGTACTCCAACTTATAGAACCCCACAGTCACAAATCAAAACACGGAAGATGCAAGGGAAACGGTTATTGGGTAGGAATCAGAGATGCATAAAAAAGCAAGGGTATTTATGATTTTTAGTCTTGGCTATAACATTATTATAATCCACACAATCCGCAAGGAGGAAAGTTATACAAATATTCAATCATAGCATGCTTTGTTAACATTCTAGAGGGTTCTATCAAATCCTGACTAGACGGAGTCTCTTAGGCTCCTTTAGAGCCTGTGAAGGCTTCACCCTGCTTTTCGGAGCCATTTTAACGAAAACATCAAAAAATTTAGTACTTTTTGAAGTTCAATAAAAATTATAACAAATAGATTAATCTATGAAATGTTGACGAAATATGATAATCTATATCATAATAGAACGTATACAAGACATTATTTTGTCACATCATTTTGACCATTTAAGGGAGATAGTAAAGAATGCTTTTGCTTTACAATTTTGAAATATCCAGAATTTCATTACATCATGATTAACACGTTTGATTGAAGTCACTGAAAGAAACACACACACACTCTTAAATGGTTGTATAATCTTAAAAACGATGACTTATGTGATACGCACTAGAAAATTTTTGATTGCACGATTCATAAATTATTATTGATCATGAATCAATTGAAGCTAGACCACCATGGAAAACCTGGAAGCACTGGACGGCGGGATCGTGGATGCGCACTGCTGAGGAGTCCCATACTAAGACGAAACGGCCGTCCAGTGCTTCCAGGTTTTCCATAGTGGTCTAGCTTCAATTGATTCATGATTTCAACTATTGAAATTACCAATTCTCCACAAAACCCATTCTAGTATTATTGATCAGTTAGATGAAGGAAGATTTGAAGGATCCATTTACATTTTTAAGTTTCTGTATTGAGAAATTTGTTAGTAGAAATTGTAATCATTTGCAATTTCGATTTAGTCTTTATCCAAATAGTGACTAATTGTTGGGAAGAAAATCCACTACTGTGTTGACAGGAAAGAATAAGTTGATTATATCACAGTTATGCTTAGTTATCAATTGCATGTGAAAATAAATGCAAGTGAATGAATTCATGCTTCAATTATTCTATTACATGAGCCAATCAGAAATATATATGGACACTTAATCTTCCTAAATTCAAGCTTTCGCAGTATAGAAAAATTTCTGTCAGTTTAGATATCTCTAGAGCGACTATACAAGGAGGTGGTTGATGTAGATGTAAATGTATAAAGTCAATAATAATAATAACAACAGACAAATACTTTAACCAACTAACTGCTTAATATCATAAACCCGACTAAATCTTGAAATGTTCAATGAAACTTTATTTATTAACAGCGTCTCCCTAATTTTCAGATATGTTCAGCATTGAAGCAATCAATGAATAAACTATTCTCTGATACAATGGAAATATGTGTTTAGAAGTAATTATCAAAGGAAACATCATTTATTAATGTTTGATGTAGACATTGTTAATATTGTATATAAACGGATATACAAATAAATTTGCTTAAACTCAGTTTTATCGGAGGTTCCTTATATCTGCCAAGAATAGAGCTTTATCTATTATTTATACTTTTCTTACTTGCAAGTTATTTGGAAAGCTGTAACACTCATTTAGCAAATTAGTAATTTTATTCCATGTTCTCAGTAAGTTTTGATGTAAAATGTAGCTATGACAATTCAGTAGACTGACGGATGAACCTTTCTGTTATTTAGAGCTACAGTAATTTAGTGAAAATATTAGTATTGCAGGACACAGCTAAATGGGTTGTAGCTAATGGTTTTAACTATGAATGACTTTTAAAACGTATCATCTATGAGCATCTATGAAAGTGATTAACCATACTAAGGGTGGCCAATTTGCTGATAGCACAACGACCATAATAATTGTTATGATTGATAACATAGGGGTAGGGTGGGATATTATAAAATATATTTTTTACATCATCTAAGAAGTAAAGCGAATCACTTGAAAATATTATTCAGTTAACATTATGGCCATGATTGTTAATTTCAACGGAAGATTAAATGTAAACTTGTTTCATTGTAATCACTCTTAAGAGAAGGTTTTTACTTGATTTGGTAAATCAGGTGACATTAATCGTGCATCATCCAAGTACTGGAATACCAGTAACAATCGTAGCTGCCTTAATAAATTAGCAATGATTCCCATACAGAATAGATAATTTGTTAACTGAAATTCCACTGGAGGAAATTATTATAAGTGAGGGTCCTAGTATAGTATTTGTAGTAAACCTATTTTAAGTTGTAAACAAAATACTACCTATGAAGTATGCATTATTAAGTTTATAATGCATGAACAACAGAGTATTCTGTGTACTTGGTTAATAACCGTTCATTAATTTAATAACTGATAAGAAAAATTAAAACTAGGCAGTTGAAAGACCTAACGTGTGCAGGTATTTTTTAGACCGTGGTTACCTTGTCTAGTATGAGTTTAAATTACGGGATTTAGTAACCTATATATATCAAGCAAGACTATTCACATAATTTCTTTAGTAATATAAGCAGTCATACAGCATTTGACTTCTTACTCACTATTCGAAAATCCTATTGGTAATACACCACTTGTTCGATTATTTTTCAATACGCGCCTAGCATTTACTGTTCATTTATATCAAGATAAAGTGTCAAAACCTCGAAGTGTAATTATAATTATATTTAAGAAAAACTGTAACGTAGTAAATGGTTTTCCTTCTTCATGAAAAACACTTATTTGAAAGATATGAAGTTGTTTTAATAGAAACAAAGGTATAAGTTAAATTTCTCTGCGATTAGAAGTTACATATTATTCATTAGTTTACATTGTTGGCAAGTATTTTAAATGACTTGAATCGAGAAACATCTTGTAAGTATTTGGCAGACTTTTTGAGATCAAACACTATGATTCATATTATAGATTGATAATATTGCAATTCTTCTTGCTTATAATCACTATAATTTTATCCTGTGTTTAGTTACAAATACACAGACACGTCAGATATTATTACATGTTTTAAAATTATCCCTGTAGTAAAAAGTAATCATTTTCTTATTAAACCATTCAGATATCTTTTAAGGTTACAAAATCTCAAAGTTATATACATGTAAAGTGGAAAGAGATTGTTGAAAGTTGTATCTCCAAACACTGCCAAGTCAGAAAATGACATTTATTTGATCAGTTCACACTTATCGATAATGATTAGGTGCTCTCGCGCGAAACCAGTAGGTCCTGGGTTCGAATCTCGCAGGGGACGAAGTCGTGGACGCGCACTGCTGAGGGGTCCCATAATAGGACGAAACAGCCGTCCAGTGCTTCCAGGTTTTCCATGGCGGTCTAGCTTCAACTGACTCGTGATCTTAACCATTGGAATGAAATAATTGTTAACAGTTGTATTGAATGGTCGTCGAGCCATATCGGAAATCTATTGAACTTTGAATTCTTCAACTTTACGCCAATTCGGTTTTAATGTTTAAACATTTACCTCAATACCCAAGTATTCTGAACATTATGTTGACGATTGTTAAGCCTGAGAGATTTGGTTTACATCATATGCTAGGTTCGCCAATCAGGATTTCCATTATAACTTTCCAACCTCTTTTCTGTTATTGTGCCCATAATTAAGCATCCTTAATTTTGACCAATGATATGATGCAATGAACCTCCTATTGGTCCGCCAGTACCTATTATCTCTTTTCACAGCCTTGAGTTCAAAAGAAACGACTGCAGCCAAACTCTTACTATTATATTTCAACCATCTAACCAGGCATTCATTAGTTTGTACAAATGACGTTCCAAGAGTTGCACTTTCCATGATATTTGCTCCTCCAAAACACTGGGTCATATCCTCGTAGGGTCTTGAGTACACCATTATGAGGGGTTCTATACCAGGATAAAATATCTGTCCAGTGACCCCTGGATTTCGATTGATTCACAAAGGATACTCAATACAGTCCTGTCATTTACTCTATAATGATATTTCTGAAAATAATCTCAAAAGTAATCGTTTAACCGCTGTTGAATATCCATCTGTATCAGTACTATCATATTTTTTTCAAACTCGATCATTAAGATTAATTTGATGAAACAATAGCAAACTTTTAGGAATTATCTATTCTGTTGAAGAGTATAATATGGATCAAATTTGCTGTTTGATGGCATATTTCGTCGAAAATGATAACAGAAAAAATGTTTATTGTACTGTATCGATTTTTTCAGAAATATTCATGTTAATAAGAATCTTACTGCAGAAGTACTTAATAGTGCGATCGCTTACATATAGTAAACCTAATTACAGAGGTTTATCGTGTACTAAATGATTATATAAATTCGTTTTGGTATCAGTAAAAGTCGCCGTTTACAGAGTTGTGTTCTTTGGCAAGCTTGATAGCCTTCCATTTTATGTGTATCACACTAAACGTGTGCTGTATTTATTTTGAACTACTCTTTACATTTGTATTCAATTACTGCTTAGTTTAGTCTCTTGTATATATTTTTTCCACTTATAGCTGCATACTATGGGGATATAGCGTTGGATGAACACGAATCTCAGATGATGTTGTCAAAAGGCATGGTATTATCTGATGATCCATTACAAATATGGGATTTGGAAGATAATAAGGAAACGAACAATAGGAGAAATAAACATTCTAACATCCCTAATTCAAAACCATTGGATGATATTAAAATTGAAATGAGGTAGGTGTAGTTATTCTCATCACTGTATTTATTTGTTTGATGTGTTGAAAAAGGAGTTGGCATTTCATCCAAACATATAATAGGAACATGTTGTAGTATTAGTCTTAAAATAAGCACACTGTTCTTTTCATAGAAACACTATTATCAGGTTTTTTTCAAGTTTAAACACAAATAATTATGCTCTCTTTAAATGTTCTGACTTTGAACCTACCCTGGTAATTTTTAGTCTCATTTTCACTCGCTAAAGGTGTTATCAGAATGAACTTTATGCTTTTTGATATAAATTCTCTTATCGCTATTCGACAATTCTTCGTTTTTACCTAAAATGACCATTAAGTAAATGATCTAATTGTTAAATATAGTACATTTCAATTACATCATTGTCTTTATATCCAAAGTATCTTTTTTTCTTGCAGTAACTAAAATTTATAGTACAAAGCTGATCATATTAAACATATTAATGGGAAAATTAATTAAATACAATAGTAACACAGCAACTGTTTCTCGATTCACATCTTGTCTATTTGCAAATATGTATATTTAAACTATTCATCAGAAAACGGTTTAACTGTTCGAACTGTTGCAACTGAGTTCAAGGAACAAAATGTCCTGCTTGAAAAAAAAGATAATATTATTGGGAAAAAATAAATTTAACCAGTGTAACAATAACTTAATATCGAAAATACCGGATTACCAGCTACTCAGTCTCAAATTTGACCTCTATCTATTTCAACCAACCTAATATGTGTAGCCCGTAAACACACATACAATTTGACTTAAATCCCTGATCAGAACTCAATAATTAAGTTTAGATGATTTTTTTATGTCTTAATTGATGTAAAATGCTTCAATCAAAAATATAATGTGATCAAAACTGTTTTCAAGTATTAAAAAATTATCAGAACGGGGGTTTATAGAGATTGTAGTAATTTTAATAGTTGGATTCATGAGCCAATCTAAGCTAGACCACTATCAAAAATCTGGAAGCACTGGACGGCTAAATCGCCCCAGTGTAGGACTCCTCAGCAGCGTGCACCCACGATTTCGCTCGTGGGATTCGAACCCAGGGGCTTCAGGATCGCGCGCGAACGTTTAACCTACTAGACCACTGTGCCAGGATCCAATATTGTTAGTGTCTAACATCAAAAAATCCACGAAACTGTGCGACTGTCTTCCATTGTACTGAGGTAGATACCTATCTCTATCCGACACTGATTAGCTCCACTGGTCACGGCTTCTCACTAGAACTCCAAGAATTCCCTCACGAAGCTAGTCACTAGTTGGTACATGTTAATTATCAGTATAGGGTTTATGGAGTTTATTAATGTTTTGATTGAGATCATGAACCGATTGATGTTAGACCACCGTTAGAAACCTGGAAGCACTGGAGTTTTAGTGAGTAGTCGTAACCAGTGGAGCTAATCCGTGTCGGGTAGAAATATGTATCTACCTCAGTACAATGGAAGATGGTTATGCAATTTTGTGGATTGGTTGATGTTAGACACTGACACAATTGGACGCCGGCTCAGTGGTCTAAAGATTAGGCGTTCGCTCGCGAGACCGATAGGCCCTGGGTTCGAGTCCCAAATGCTGGATCTTGCATGTGCACTACTGAGAACTCCCGTACTATGACGAAACGGCCGTCCAGTGCTTCCAGGTTTTCAATGGTGGTCTAGCTTATATCGACTCATGAATTCAATCAACAACATTAAATGTTACTCAAAAAATCTGATAAGCTAATGATACATAGTTCTCATTTGAACATTTAAACCATGAATTTCAGCTTTGGGGTCCCTTTTTAATGAATTTACAACCAAGCTGTACAATTATATGTATGTATAAAAATGGCATAATTTGAATCGCTTAACTACTAAAATTTTATGGATTATACCGATGTCGAAATGAGACTTAACATTGTTTAGAAAGTATATTCACATAATTAACAAGGTCACCATGTGTATTATTCCTATGTATGTAATGCATAAAAGATCAGGGTGATCAAAACGATTGTACGCATATTATAATATAAATCTAAGGTATACTCATGCCCTCATTATTTTTCCATAATCATCATTTGGCTGTTACAAAATCTAATTATTCCGTTCTTTATATTTACCAAATGAATAGTTATATGTTCTATAAAGTGTCATTATCTTGGCAATACTTCATTCGGCATTAGGTCATTGCACAACTTCCTTTCTATATCTGGTTATTTCAAACAAATGATTAACAATTATCACATATTTTTTTCCCTGTAATTTATTTTCACTTTGATTCATTACTTACTTACTTACGCCTGTTACTCCGAATGGAGCATAGGCCGCCGACCAGCATTATCCAAGTCACTCTATCCTGGGCCTTCTTTTATAGTTCTATCTAATTGTTGATTATTCTTCCCATGTATGTCTCCATTTCTCGGCGTAATGTGTTCTTTGATCTTCCTCTTTTTCTTTGGCCTTGATGATTCCATGTTAGGGCTTGCCTTGCAACGCAATTAAGCGCTTTCCTCAATGTATGTCCTATCCACTCCCAGCGCTTCTTACTTTGGATCATTACTGAATTTTATTTTTGATACTTGGAAACACTTTCAATCATAGTTTACATAATGCACTATTTTTCTTCTATTTCATTATGGATTTAAGTATTCTAGTTAACTATATTTATGATTGTAAATGATTTCGTCCGAAAAGATATTTTCTTCACTAAACTGTCCTTTTCTCTTTTTCAAATGACTCATCAGGTTTCTTTTGTTTACTGCATTAGTTTGAATTATTTAAGAGATATCAATTTTGTCTATAAGATATTATTGAACTATATTTCTAGACTGAATATTATTAACTAGGAAAAATAAGTTAGTTATGTACCTAATGGAGAGATTGACAAAATAAGATAAATCATTAGTCGAAGTTAAATGTAATTTCGTTTAGTCAATAAATACATGAATTCTTGAAAAATGACATAATTCTAATCTCTTGACTACTCAATTTTTTATAGATTATGCAAATGTCTAAATGAGATTTAACATTGTTTTGAAAGTATATTCACATAATTAACAGGGTTACTATGTGTATTATTTCTATGTATATTCGTAAACACTGTAAGAAGTTGAATGTCTTATGAGAGTAGGTTTATTTCAAAGAAAAGACATTTTCACTATCAAGATAAATAAAATTTACTCTTGTTACTTTAAAACAAGTTTACTGCATCATACTGACCCAACGAAAACATTCTGAAAGGGGTTTTATGGATGTTATTGTAATTTTGATAGTCAAGTTCATGAGCCAATTGATGATAGAACACCATGGAAAACCTGTGAGCAATGAACAGCCGTTTCGTCCTATTGTGGGACTTTTCAGCAGTAAATTCTGTTTGTTCTTTAAAACATAGACAAATTAAGGAAACATAGAACATCATGAATTTCTAAACAATTGAGTCATTTTACCGTTTATATTTTATTCCAAAAGTAGAACAAACTTCTGTCGTTTGCTTTAAGGTTCAAGATATTTCTTTTCACGTGATATTTGTCTTTGACATATTCCCTAAAAAAAACTAACCAGCATAAACAGTTTCTAATTCTGTTAAATCTTGTTCACCTGACATAGACTTATGATAAAGATTGTTTTTTATTTTTGGATTGAGCAATTTAAAGCTACTACGGTAAAGGTAGGTTTCTATATTGATTTTCAAGTGGTTCATGAACAATTATTTGGTAATCCAATGAGATTCATAATAAGAAACTAGAAGTAGGATAGTGTTTTCCACAATAAATTCCAGTTTGCTATTTAACCACTATCTTTTGAGTTGCAAAATCGGAATGTCTGTATTTCTCGAAAGTTCCAGAACATAAAAAACAACTGTCTAGTACTTCTTTAATTTATACCCGTTATATTTCTGAAAAGAGTTAATGTATACCAAGATGGTGACAAGTATTACGTCATGGTACAAGATATATATATTAGCATATTTTTCCCCATTGAGAACTGTATGTGTGTGTATGTGCATATTACCATGTGCTTACAGATAAACATATCAGGTATAGTCATTTTCACGATTCTTGTTCATCATTATTGTAATAACTTTACATTTACATCCTGCCCTGTCTAATTTCTTGCTGGAAATATCTTATTCAAAAAAGTAATAATATTAAAAGGACAAATAACCTTGGCATAGAACCATAAATATCTAGGAAAAATAAATTACAAATAATATTCTTGAAGAAAAAAGAAATATATAGATGTTTATCCATTAGAGATATGAGCTTATTATATAATTTGCTTTTATTAGCAATAATCTACATAATTCTTTTATCATGAATAGTTTATTTAAGATTAACTATTTTCAATCCTATTCATATAAGTAATACTGATTAATGTAAGGTCTGTTGATAATATTATATATTAGTACTGGTATGATATTAATATTATTAGTGCATTCACAGTTTGACAGATAATACCAGCTTTATCTTACATATATTTAATTTTTAAAAAAAGGAATTATTATTGTAAACAGCTGTTGTGTTTAAACATAAATGCAAAGAAAGACAAATATTTAAATATTTTGTATTATTTGAAGAAATTTACAATGATATAACAAGAAGTTGACAGCTGTACTTATTTGTTACTAGGGTTAAACGCTTTTTTTAGAATATTGTTAATCACTGATACAGGATTTCATAATATAATAGTAAGTGATTCACTATTCTCACTCATAAAGTGTATATAATACAGAACAGGATGTCAACACTGTTGTTGAGAAATTTCATTGAATCTGTGCGAATCTTACATTTTTATATGCTACCTATTTATGCAACTTTTATAGTACACAAAATGGTTCGATCTGCATCACAGCCCGTGATTCAACTCACAAAATAGAATATTGTAAAGAAACCTACATAGTTTAAACCATAAAAGATTATGAGGGACGCTCACTCGTGATCGTGGGTCGACTTCATCCTTCCTACTAAACCACAACCCACCATCTACTTCGCCTTCGATAGTTCT